TAGGGTTCTTGCTTTAGAAAATTGATTTGCATGTATAAATCAAGAAAAATCTAGATCCAAAGCAAATACGGTTGCATGTGCACCATAGGAATGTTGTAATGTTGAAAACCCATCACAATTTACTTCTCAGTTTTGGTAGAGTTTTCGTGAGGATTTGGGTACAAGACGACACTTCAACATTGCTTATCACCCTCAAACTAATGGTCAGAGTGAGCAAACTATTCAGACGCTCGAGGATATGTTTATGGCTTTTATCATAGATTTCGGTGGGAGTTGGGACTCATACCTCCTTCTAGATGAGATTTCTTACAACAATAGTTATCATTCTAGCATCGCCACACCTCCATATGAGCTTCTTTATGGGAGGAAATTATGTACTCTAGTTTTTTGGGGAGAGTTCATACATAGGGTCATATGGAGGACTGAGGTGGTGCTCCAGACGACGGAACTTATTCAGCAAATTAGGTAGACGCTACAAACAACATAGGGCTGACAGAAGAGTTACGATAATAGTCGACAATCTTAGTTGGATCTTCAAGTTAGGTATATGGTTCTGCTGAAGGTATCACCCTAAAAGGGTGTTATACGCTTCAGGAAGCAGGTCAAGCTGGGGCCCCAATTTATCAGACTTTTTAGAGTAATGGCCAAGGTAAGCAAGGTGGCCAACCGGTTGGATATACCTGAGGAGCTTAGTGATATTCATAGTACCTTCCATGTTTCTCAGCTTTGGAAGTGCCTTGTTGATTATACGGTATTGGTTTTGTTAGATGAAATTCAAATTTATGAGCATATGAATTATGTGGAGAGGTCGGTGACTATTCTGGATAAGAAGATGAAGGCCTTGTACACCAAGGTAGTACCCTTAATCAAGGTTCAGTGGTAGCATCGGAAGGGTTCCGAGTGGAATTGGGAGCCTGAGTCAGAGAAGCACGGACACTACCCATATCTATTTGCAATTGTGGATTTCGAGGACGAAATCTAGTTCAAGTGAGGGAGAACTATAACACCTAGTTTTAAGTAAGCATCGGTTGTGATATATCAGTTAAATTTTTAAGGATGAAAGCCTTAGTCACAGCGTGATCTCTTTTGTATCATGACGTGGCAATGCTAAGAAGAACATGCGTTCCATTGGTTGTCATGACGTGACCACATGTTGGTCACGACGTGGTAGCCCTTATGTGCCAAAACCCTAATTTTAGGGATTGTCCCCCTATTTAATAAAAGTGAGGTCTAGGGTTTGCACACCCTCAGCCTCCACCATCCCATTTCCCTTCCAACATAAATCCTAGCATCCATTATGTTGTTTAAGAGGTTTTTGTGGTGTTTTGGTGTGTAGAAGAAGAAGAAGAAGAAGAAGAAGCTCGTAGTGGCCAAGATCTAGCAAGTTAACCTTATCTCTTCATCCTTGCTTATACTATGGACTTTTGTAAGTCCTCAGGATCCAAGATTTATAATTAATTCTTTTAGATCTAAGCGTCTTGCCTATTTCTCCATGATTGTGAGAGTTTGAATGGTTAGGTTTCATAAAGTTGGCAACTTTATGGATCCTTAGGGCCTCCTTGGGGCTATATGTTCCAAATCTATGTTCTTTTAGTGTATTTGGTCTCATGCACAACCTAGGGTCCATTTCCTTCCATGTTTTCACCTAGACTGGAAAAGACATGAATTGGACATGTATCTCCATAAAGTACCGATTTTTATGTTGCATTGGGAGTAAGAAAGCCTCCTTGAAAGTATGAATGAGTGGTTGTATTGATCAAGGACTTAATGCATTAAGTTGACCAAACTAGAGCTCACGAAGTGAATGATTGGCCTTCACAACATAAGAAAATGGCACTCTTGTATCTGTTTTGTCTTGAGGCCACTACAACGTGACATAAGCTTGATCATGATGTGGCAGTTGGCTGTAGAATTTTTTACTGTTGACTTTGACTTAACCGTTAAATTTTTTACCAAGTTTGACTTTAGGTCAAATTAATGGTTTTGGGTTGTATTCTGAGTTTTGGTCCTTCGTTTGTTGCATAGGTAACTTGTAGTGTCGATTATTTGATCTGTGATCAGTGTTGTTATCTTCTAGGCTGTGAGGTGAGTTTTCTCACTATAGTTTGTACTGTATTATGTGTCCTTGTTTCTACGATGTTGGTGTATTGTAGTGATCTGTTAGATTGGTAAATATGTATGATTACTTGTATTTGTTGGTTATTATACTGTTTGCATATGTCGACATAGTGTAGTTTGGGTTGAGGCGATACGACTTTGTGATGTTGGCCAGTTAACCCGGGGCAATCCAGTCGTGTGTTATGGGCCCATGGGCAATCCATTCTGAAGAATGTGGGACTGGTGGCAATTTAGTCTGATGGTTGTGGGCCCATAGGCAATCCAGTTTTATGTTGTGGGCCCGGTATACATGCATTGTATATGTATTGTTATATAGGGTATTTTAGGAGAGCATGCTAAGCTTTGGCTTATAATTGTTGATTTCAAAGTTTCAGGTACTTTAGATGATCGTGACAAGACGAAGACGTGATCATATACATCCTCCTGCTGATTTTGTGTTGAGAGATTATTTGATACGCCGATTTCTATGGCTTTGGTTTGAAAAATACGTTTTATAGTTTTATGGTTTTATGAAAAATATTTTTTAGAAATAAAAAAATTTATCATGGTTTTTGGGATATTATAATTTTGTTTCTACTTCTAAAAGTGTTGAAACATTAAAGTTATTAAAAAATAGTTAAAAACATAAAAATAATAATAATTAAGCATGCATGTTCATAGTATGTAGTTTTTTTTTAGTCCAATGTGTAGTAATGAATGTGAACTTCTAAAGAATTATCACAAGACATGTATATTATTATATCAAGTAGTTTCTAATATATCAAAATGTTTGTTGATATTCGTTTGGGAAAATGACTTATTAAGGTAACTAACTATTTCAATTGTCCATATATAGGTAATGTTCTTTTTTTTGTACATATTAAGGTAACTAACTTGTTTTGTTTGTTCACATTTAGGTAATATGACCGGCTATCACCTGTTTTTGCTTATGTGGCATCCACCTGGCATTACGTGGCATGGTGCATATATGGGAAAATGACTTATTAAGGTAACTAACTATTTCAATTGTCCATATATAGGTAATGTTCTTTTTTTTATACACATTAAGGTAACTAACTTGTTTTGTTTGTTCACATTTAGGTAATATGACCGACTATCACATGTTTTTGCTTATGTGACATCCACCTGGCATATGACTTGAATACGTTACACCTACGTGGCATCCACCTGACATATGACTTGTTTTGTTTCTTCTTCCTCATCTTATTCTTCAAAACAACAAGATGAATTTCAAGCCGATCATCCATGTGATTGCGGTTTACCATCTCGTGTGAAGATTTCAAGAACTCATGACAACCATGGAAGAAAATTTAGAGTTCGTTAAAACTCGATGGTAAATCAATATTGTTGAATATGTTGCAGGAGTTCTTGAAATCTTCACACGAGATGGTAAACCGCAATCGATAATCAGCTTGAAATTCATCTTGTCATTTTGAAGAATAAGATGAGGAAGAAGAAGCCATCATCGATCGATCTAGGGTTTAGAATTAGGGGTGGAATCGTATGACACAGTTATAGTGTAATCGAATGAAGATAAAATATGCACCATGCCACGTAGGTGTAACGTATTCAAGTCATATGCCAGGTGGATGTCACATAAGCAAAAACATGTGATAGTCGGTCATATTACCTAAATGTGAACAAACAAAACAAGTTAGTTACCTTAATGTGTATAAAAAAAAGAACATTACCTATATATGGACAATTTAAATAGTTAGTTACCTTAATAAGTCATTTTCCCATATATGCACCATGCCACGTAATGCCAGGTGGATGCCACATAAGCAAAAACAGGTGATAGCCGGTCATATTACCTAAATGTGAACAAACAAAACAAGTTAGTTACCTTAATGTGTACAAAAAAAAGAACATTACCTATATATGGACAATTGAAATAGTTAGTTACCTTAATAAGTCATTTTCCCTATTCGTTTTGTACGAGTTAAAAGTGTTTGATAGGTTTTCTTAATTTTTATCATAGTTGTTTTAGTTTTTGTATGTTACTAAGTTGTAATATTCTTTTCATATTATTTTCAATTTGTTATATATACAAATCAATATATATTTGCATAACTTTGAATGAAATCATCAATTAACGATATACATAACTTAAACCTATCCTAATTGTTTTAATTTTTTTTTTTTTTTTTTTTTGTTGGAATGATTTTAGAGTCAGTGACTGATCAGTTTTAGTTTTATACTGTTATTTTTTATCTCTAGTTCCACCCATCATTTTTTTTTTTATTATTGTTTTATCATCTACGGTTCCAACAATCAATTTATTTTAAGAATATGAAAAAGGAGACCTAGTGTTTGAAATTTTATGCAAGCTAATTGAAAGTGAGCAACAATGTCACCCTCAACTTTGCCTTTTAGACCCTTTCACCTCAAGTTTGTCCCCTCAAGTAATTCATTTTCTTTTTCTAAAATTCAAAGTAAGGTATCCAATAAATTGTGCATGTCATCCCTTTCTTCACAAAAGCAAAGAATTAAAGTTAAACATGTTATATGTTTATATAATATTATATTCTATATTTTATAATTTATTTTTTATTACAACTAATTATATGAAATAATTCAATATCACACAATCATTTTCAGAAACTACACATTTAAACATCCTCTAGATATGACATATGACATTTTTGACCAAATTAGCACATGACATTCACACAAAAACATTTTTTATATTAAATATCGAATAATTATTAAGGATAGAAGTACGTATTGCAGTATTGTTGTCGACATAATTATTCGTGGCTTGGTAAAGAAATTTACCCCAATCATTTTGACTTCAAATTCACACAAAGAAATCATGGTTTTTTGCCTTTTAGCCTATAAATTCTCCCATTCCCCCTTATCCAAACAACTTCCCATCAGCCATGGCAGTTGATGTTTCTGAACCTTTTATAAGTCCAAGAATCTCTTTCTCCTATGATCTCAACAACCAATCATCCGACACCATCACCGCCTCCACCACCACCACCACAGCAGCTACCGCCGTCACCAACACCTTCGAATTTTGCATCACCTTGAACCTTCTGCAACAAATCACCTCCGCAGACGAGCTATTCTACGACGGAGTACTCCTCCCTACACAAATCAAAAAACCCGAAAACCTTCTTCCCAAACCCAAAACACCACTACCAGAAAATATAACCATGCACGTACATAGAAAACGTCTGAAAGAGCTTCTATCTGACAACGACGACGAACAACACAAACAAGAGAAATCTTCATCGACGTCGTTTTGGAAGTTTGCACGAAGCACAAGTTTGAATTCTGAGAATGGTAGAGGCCCAAAAAGGTTATTCCGTTCTTTATCGTTAAAACGACTGTTACAGAGTAATTCAACTGATTCTGCATTGAATCCGAAGGAAAACGATGCTCCGGTGGGTATAGGGAAGTTGAATTCAGGCAAAGAGCCGGCAATGGTACGGATACATCATAGTTGTACGGGAGATAATTCTTGTCGGAGGTCGGCAACGAAGAAGAACTCCGGTGATGTGAATAAAGTCAACCCTATATTGAACATTCCACCGGCTTATAATATGAACTTGTTCGGGTCGGGTTCATTGTTCTGTAAGCCCAAAAGCAAAACTAGATAAATTATATTTCTTGTGATGGTTTTTTTTTTTCTTGTACATGTATATGTTTGTTAACTTTAATGCTTATTAAGTTTTTGGGTTAGATAAAAAATTAATTAAACTAATCTATATGCTTCTTTACTAAATGTCACAGTTTGAATAGATGTTACGAAAAAAATTATTTATTTCACAAAATGCATTTTGTTTCTTGCACAATTGCTTTATAGATGATTTCTCAAATAATGATGCCATTATGTAGAAGATGAATTTTGTGAAATAAATGATTTGCTTTATAAAATAGGGTGTGTTATTAGCCAACCCCAAAAAGATAATATCATAAAAGTATAAAACTATGTTTGTAACTTTTTAACAATTTTTTTTTTCAGTTTTACTTATAATTTTTAACTAAATTTTTAGTTTTACTATTTTTAACTTCTATATATAATAAGTTTTATTGTTTTTTTAATGAGACTCACAATAAAATCTTTAAGTTTCAAAAACTTTATAGGGTTTACTCTAAGTATATTTATTTTCAATTTTATCTCATATATTTCTTTGTAATTTGTTAATTTGATTCGTTTTGCAAAACATATATTTCTTTGTAATTTGTTAATTTGATTCGTTTTGCTTTTGTTTTCGGTTCATGTTGATAGGGCAATTTTTGTTGACGTGACACATCATATGATAGTCTCAAAAAGAAATGGAAACAATGGTCTAAAGAAGACACGAACTTGAGACATTTGGGAGTATGCATACGTCTTAGTGAAACAAACAATGTTTTTGAAATTAATACTACTGTAATTACAAAAATATATTTAATTTACGCTACTTTAATTATATTTTTATAACTAATATGAAAAACATTCTCCCAAAATATGGAATAAACTGAGATGTACAATCACTCTTGATCTCTCGTTTGTACACATGAAAACCTACATCATGATCAAAATAACACTAAAAATTGTTTAGTATATAAATTTATTTTTTCTTAGTTTGACGAACACACTTGTAATTAGATACAACTTACACTCTCAGTGCATGCATGCATGTTAGACAACACCTAACATTACTAGATACAATATGACACGTAGCGTGTATACGATTATTAAAAATAAAAGTTAAATAGAATATAACCTAGCGGTATCAACATGGTATAGTGGTGTATATATACTCTTATTATAGAGGAAACAAAACTGAAAATTTATATATATTGACCACAATTGAGGATTTTTGGCACCTATTTTACTTAAAACCAGAAAATCTTGAAAAATTAGATTTATTGTTAATTTTTATATAATATGAACACAACGTTCTGAATACTAACAAGGGTATAAGAGTATATTTTTGAACACACTTATAAGATAGTTTGAACCCCCATAAATAGTCATATCCTAGATGCATGCAAGCATTTTCACACCCTCCCACTCCATCTCATCCCACGCCGCCCATCCCCATACATGGATTTTGTTATAGCCATCTGTCATTAAGCTTAATTATTATATGCTAAAATTTTAAATTTTATATAAATTCTCATAACTTATAATTGTACTTTTCTAGAAAAATAATAAAACGATTGATGAAGATGCAACAATATATACAATTAAGTCTGTGATATAAGTGGTGGATAAATGATAAAAATGTATATATCAACATGTCAAAGAATTGGGAAACAATTATATCAACATGTCAACATGTCAAAGAATTGGGAAACAAGTAAACAATCCTACCCTTGTTTTATGGTAAATTCTCATGACCTTTCTTTTTCTTTAGAATTTTTGGTGCTTTTTCAATAATTACATGTCCCTTGTTACTTTGGAATATCCATGCTTTTTCCTTTTTTTTTTTTCCTTTTTTTTTCTTACGTCGTATTTGAATTCAAAGCTTATGTTAGGCGATAGTAGGCTATTTAAATTAATTTAAAACATAATTTATGTCCCTTTGAGAATACGTACGACAAAGTTGCACTCGATCCAAGTTTATTAAAATAATCATTAGCCTGATGTGAATTTAGATTCGTTTTTCTTTACGATTTAACGATGCTGTGGAAAATAGAAATAAATATATTTAACTGTTAACATTATATTAAAAAAAAATCATATATATTCGGAATTTTTATAAACCTTTTTATTTTTAGAATCTATCACATTTTCCATTATTTTCGTTCTTAACTTTTTAGTAGTTTTAATGTTAATTTTCCTTACAATTTTTTCCCAAAAAATGCAAGTTTTTTTCTTAAAAAAGAGACTTTGTATTTAATTGGCTCATAATTTTTGAATTGTTGTTTCTGCTAACTGCTCTTTTATGGTGGTCTTTAAAATTAAGATTTGAAGAACCATTAAACTGTTTTTGAAGCTAGAAAAAAATGTTGATGTGTCTAATTTTGTTGGCAAAATAAATATTAAAATTTATTACAAGATGCTCAGAGCTTGTTGATGTTGAATAAAACAAACAGAAAGAGGATTTTTGAACTTCAAATTATATTTGAAAATCCAATTTGAACCTTCTGTGATCTGACTATAATTATATCACAGATTTCTTTTAGACTCTTTTTTTTTTTTCTCACTAGTGGTCGTATCAATATTATCATAGTTAACAATATCCTTTATCATTGTAGTTTTTGTTCATTTGCAAACTACATGCAAGAACTTTGAGCTAAAACATAGAACTTTCAGTATTCAAATTAGTATATATATATATATATATATATATATATATATATATATATATATATATATATATATATATATATATATATATATAACCTTTGTCCTCCAAATTAGAAATGTTGGAACCATTTGTGATACGAATGCATCCAAGCTAATGTACATATATGTTTTTATTATTAAATTAGCAAGCATATATACTAGGGCTGTGCAAAAAACCGCACAAACCGCCCGCACCGCACCAAACCGCACCGCATAATGCGGTTTGCGGTTCATCATTGCACTATGCGGTGTGGTTTGCGGTTTGTATTTATAAAACCGCGGTTCAAACCGCACCGCACCGCATGTTATATATATACTTATTTTTCTTTATTTTGTTATAACTTCAAATCACGATTTAGAAATGATGTATATAAATATATTTCTTACAATAACCAAATATCTATAATGTAACATTAAATCACTATTAGATCAAGATCTCATGGTTTACAAGAATATATCAATTATAACGGCAATATAAAGCAATAACAATGATACTTACAAAACTATAATAACACGAGTTACAATTTATTAAAAACGATTTAACTCGAAAATTGTATTTGTTTTTATAAAATGAAAGCAATCATTTTTTTTTAATCCGGTCAGGTTTTTGGTTTTTTGATAGATTTAATGTTAAACAACTCATCAAACCGCACCTAAACCGCATAAACCGCACCGCATCATGCGGTTTTGAACATCTGTGGTGCGGTTTGCGGTTTCTAAAATATTCAAACCGCATATGCAGTGCGGTTTGCGGTTTTGACTCGAAACCGCACCAAACCGCACCGCGCACACCCCTAATATATACAATCGAACCTCAATAAACATAAAACATAATCATGAGAATTATGAGTCAAAAAAATATCAAATATATCGATTTTTTGAATAAAAGTTAGGTTTTTTTTAAAGAAAAACAATAAGTTTAAACAGAAAATAAATCTAAAATATAAAATCTAGTGTGTGTGTGTGTGTATATATATATATATATATATATATATATATATATATATATATATATATATATATAATGTGGCATTGACACCAACATATTTAGAGAATGACGATTGTGGTGGTATAAACATGCCTAATTATAATAGTATACCGAGAAAGGCAACTAAAGAGCGGAGTCAATAATTGATGGTTGATAATTCAAGGACAAGATAACTACTATGGAGAAAGTAAGAAGAGGCTTAACATATATATATATATATATATATATATATATATATATATATATATATATATATATATATATATATATATATAGCTATTTTTAAGGACATGATCTCATATAAGAGGGTGTGAAAACTTAGTATTAGGGTTTGGGGAAACTTAGTAGCCTAGGTCCTTTAAATGCATTTGCTTGTGTTGTCTTTACATATTTTTCCTTCTTTCTTTCATTCCCTTGCATGTGTATGTTCATAGCATTTTATGGAATCTGTTTTCTACCTTCTCACCTCGTCATATGCATTTTAGGTTAGCATCCCATATTTTACAAAGGTCACAATCAAGTTGCAGTCGCTTGACCCATGTTGGATCATGGTTTCCCATGTATGAGATTTGTGTATCATACGTCGGGGGTATTATGTTTGATGTTATCACTCTACCAACTGATGGAGACATGATTGTTGACATTTAGCTCCCCTTGCCTCATTTTAAATGAGATTATAGGTCGTTGTCGTTGTTATTGTCATAAAACCCCTACATCTTTTTCTCAAGAAACCACCAATTCCCATCCTTATTTCCTCGTCTTTCCCAAGTAAACCACTTATCATCTCAAAACTAAATAAAAGAATTAGCTCATAAGAGTTTATTACATAAAAGACCAAATGTTTTTTTTTCGGTTTAAACGTGATTTTAAAGAAATCCTTATATTTTCCAACTTTTATCTTTATAGCTCATTCATCGGGTTTGCAAGTAAATTTCTAGTAAAGCTCAGAATATAGACAGCATAGAAGAACTCGTACATTTTGTAGCTAACTGGAGTCAATGTTCGAAGAAACGGAGAATACTCACGATGATATGTTATGGAATGCTTTGGAGTCTTTGGAAAGCTCATAATGATAAGATCTTCAAACAGGAGAAAAGGAGTCCAACCAAGGTTATTAATGACATTCAAACATTGGTCTTCTATAAGGTAAGACACAGGGGATCAAACGGGAGCATTCGGTGGTGTGATTGGAACATGTCTCCATTTGTTCCTTTATAATGTTGCGTATTTCTTTGTTTCCTTGTTCCTGCTCCTTCTTCTCCATTTTTTCTTGTAATTTTTCTAGCTCAGCTCATCTAGCTTCTTGCTAGGTGTGACCCTTTTATAAAATCGTTAACCGTTTCCAAAAAAAAATATAATTTTTTATAAAGAAAATCTTTCTAGATCAAACCCTCACATTTGCATGTATTTTACCAAAAGATCAAAGAGTTCAAAAAACATTTATATCTCAAATGGTCACAAAATTACTAGTTGGTCCTTTATTTTCTCGATAAATGGATGAAAGTTTCATTCATATTGTTTAAGGTTCAAAATTACATTAAAAATTACCACGATTTACCAAATATGATGGACATAAGGGGTCGTTTAATAGTTGCTAGTTAGGTTAGAATAGACTAGGTTAGAAGCTGACTGGTTTAGAAGTTCTGATTAATTCTACTTCTAACTAAGTTTATATTGTTTGATTGTTTTTATAACTGTGGTGAATGATAAAAAATATCCATATTACCCTTATACCGTCTCTTTTGTTGGATAAAATGAATGATAAACATGTTACATTGTAGATCAAGATCACATCAATATACACACAAATATGCACACATATACACATATACATATAACAAGGCATCTATCATTTAACCATTTAACAACAAAATAAAATCATAGCAAAATCTTTAATGTAATTTTAACTTCAATTCCAGTCTACACCATTTGCATTAGTTCTATAAGAAAATTACATACAAGCACATAGAATCTACAAAAAAGCATAGCAACAGCCAAAAAAATTAAACAAAACAGGAACAAAAACTCAATGGAAAAGCTCAGGAATAAAATCACGGTAACAACTAGCCAATCGAAAATCTCAGCAAAAACTCATAAATATATCTGCAAAAACTCAGAAAAAATCAATACCAATATGGTGTTATAAGAAAAAAATCGATACCAAAAAACTCAGGAAC